CGGAGGGCCTCCTCCCGCACCCGCGGCTCCTCCTCCTCCTCCGGCAGGAGGCGGCGGGCCGGGCGGGGGGCCTCCGGTGCTGTAGTCCGACATGGAGCGGCGCGGACGGGCCTGGCGTGGAGGCTTCAAGCTGAGGAGGAGGCGGCGGCGGCGGCTCAACGCGGGAACAAGGCCTCGCTCCACACGGCCGCGGAGCACGATGGGAAGCCAGCGGCTGGGAAGACGACGAGGGGGGGGGGAAGAGGGGCACCTCCTCCCGCCGCCGGTGTGACGGACGGCGCGGAGCAGCCAGTAGAATGCGGCTGTCGCTCTGCGCCGACCAATCGTGAGCCGTGAATCCGGGCGACCAGTCAGACTCCCGCAAGGTTTACGGGGCGGGAGGTGCGGAGTGACTGACAACTATAGGACTCAATAAACCGTGGGCTGCTGGAGCTGGGCGGGCAGTTCAAAGTCACGCGAGAAGACAGAAGGCCAATGAAGCGTGAGTTCCAGATTCGCTGGGCGGCTCCAGAACGAGAGTGATGGCTCTGTCCAGTCACGTGGATCTGGAGGCGGGGCTTAGCGAAAGAGCTCCTGGATGAGCGGGCGGGCCTTCGGTGAGATAGTTGTGAATGCCAGCCAGTGAATACACGTGGAAGGCGGTGCTTGTCAAGATTGGCAGTCACTTAACCCAGTCTCTGGAGCGTTTTGGGGGTGATGTGCTTGGATTTGGATTTGACGGCTTTTCTTAGACTCCATGTCCCTCGATTTCTGAGCCAATGACTGAGCGACAGGAGCAAGCGTTAAATGACTGACGTCTCCCTAAGCGAATAGCAGCGACGGAAGTAATAGCGCCCTGTTTTGATGGGCGCGCACCTGCATTGGGTGGAACCCGTTACCAGACGGCGAGAGCGGATTAGCGGGAGCAGGAGTGAATGGCAGCGGACGTGGGCGGTGGTGCCCTGCCGCCGGAACTACGGCCTGACCTCTAGATCAGCGCACCAGCAGCCTGTCTCTGGGAGGACTTGCACGTGGCCTGCTCGAAGCCTGGGGGATCTGTCTATGTGATGTGGGCGGCCCGAGGTTTGTTGAAGAACCCAGGAGTGTCCCGGATCTTACCTCTCATCCCGACAATCTAGAACCTGTATTTCTTCCAGTACTCATGGCACCAACTCCTCAAACTTACTGCAAGCCTGTTTCTAAACTGGACCCAGGTCCCCACAGAGGTCCAAGCTCCCAGCTCCCAATCCAGAACCCACCCTGGACAGGATCCCTCTTACAGGGGGTCTAAAACCCCCAGCTAACACCCTGGATCCAAAAATCTCAGGTCCCTACAGGAACTTAAGCCCCTTGTTTCCCAGGCCCTCAGGGTGGGGACTGAATCCAGGACCTTGCTGGGCAAGCTCTTTACACTGACATACGCCCCCATACTCAGATTACCCACCCTGAACCAGCTAATCCCAGGCAGAGACAGCCAAAACTATCTTTATTCTTTGTCCACACCTTCTGTTGGACGAGCGTGCAACAAAGCAGGCTGGAATATCATATCAACTCAGACTGCAGGAGGGAATCCCAGCACTTCTAACCCTAGTCCTGTATGGTTTTTGCAAACCAAAATGGCCCTAAAGCCTGAGCCTTAGTGGGCTTTCTGAGACCCAGAGACACTGGGAATTCCATTCTCTTTTTGTTCGGGGCATGTCATCTGCTCAGGACTTGTACACCCAGAGTTTTCTTCATGGCTTCGTACACCACGTAGCTGATACCGCCTGCTGGTAACACCTTCAATAATGTGGGCGTCATGCCTCTGTAGAGCCCAGGCCAGCCCTGTTGACTCAGTATTCGCCGGAAGACTCCCAGCATGGTGGGGTTGGAGCCCTCCACAGTGTCTGGGGATAGACAAAGACAAGTTCAGCACTGGGTCTGATATGAGATATCACTGTCAGTGTGAGAGGATCTGGGTCACGTTTTTTGCAATCTTGTAGAGATCATTCGGTTATTGCCATGTATGTATTTTGAGATGGTTTTATGCAGTGCAGGCTGGCCTAGAATTCCATATGTAGCTGAGGCTAGCTTTGAGACTCCTGATCCTCTTGACTCTACCTCTTGCTGAAATTACAGCACTGCCACACCCCATTTACCCCTGGCTTCACACATAGGCACATGCTACATACTGTACCAGGCTGAGCTCCAGCTCCAGCCTCAAGGTATGTCACCAAAGATGATCTGGAATTCCAGATCTTCTTGCCTCCACTTCCCAAGTGATGGGGTGACTTCTAATTTGAGAGCCGGGGTTAGATTGGTGAGTGAGCATATGTTTTGGTAGGTTCCGTACTCAGCATAGGCATTACAGATGAGTTTATGGAGAGGCTGGAAGTTTGTGGGGAAGGATGAGAAAATTCAGAAAGCCAGGATGAGGTAGGGACGGGGCCAGGCTGACCTTGTGCCTGCATCCGTGTGCGCACCAAAGTCAGCGGGTAACTGGCCATCTGGCCACAGGTCGAGGACAGTGTTACAGATGACAAACTGACCAGGCCACTGGGGTCTGTCATGTCCCTACCCGACTTCTGCCACAAACACCGGAGTAGCTGCAAAAGGAGGCAAGAATGCTATTTTTTTTTTCTGAGACAGGGTTTCTCTGTAGCTTCGGACCCTGTCCTGGAACTAGCTCTGTAGATCAGGCTGGCCTCGAACTCACAGAGATCTGCCTGTCTCTACTTCCTGAGTACTGGGATTAAAGGTATGCACCAACACCACCCAGCAGAGTGCTATTGATAATGACTCCCGGTCAAGATGGGCATGATGGTGCATGCCTTTAACCCCAGCATGGGGGTCGGGGGAGGGCAGGGGCTGGAGGATCTCTTTAAGTTTGAGGCTAGCCTCACCTACATATTGAGTTCTAGGCTTGCTGAGGTTACATACTGAGACCCTGTTTTAAAAAACAACAGTCTTTGGATCTCTGAGTTCGAGACCAGACTGATCTATAGATCGAGTTCCAGGCAGCCAGGGCTACACAGAGAAACCCTGTTTCCAAAACAAAAACAAAACAATGGTCTTGAGAGATGGCTCAGCAGTAAAGAGCATTAGTTGTTCTTGCTGAAGACTCAAGTTCAGTTCCCAGCACCCAAATGCTAGCTTAAATATATCTAGAAAAACCAAAATTTGTGCGAAGGGGGCAGGGAGAGAGGTCTGGGCTGACCTGGAGTCAATGCTCTCTTCCCTGGGGACACACACCTCATAGACAGCCAGATCAGTGCAAGCATAGGGTACGATGCCCAGCATGTTGGGCAGATAGCCTCGGTACAGTGCTTGGGTGCCATCCCGTTCTAAGATCTGCCTGGCGCAGTCCAGAAGTCCTTTATACTGGCCGGTAAGGCGAAGGGTCAGCCTAGTCTTGAGTACCTGGAGAGGAGGAGGAGGTCCGTTTGGTTAAATACTCTCGGGCAGGCTTGTCACCCCACCTGGTATTGGTAGGTGGAGATATTGTCAGGGTTCAGTTGTGCATTTGCAGCACAGGGCCACCTACATGGAAAGAGGGGACTGCACTGGCCTGATTGTTCTCATTATAATACCTGAGGAGTTGAGCTTTTTCAAGAAAAGAGTTTAAACCCAAATTCTGGTTAACCCATCCATTATCCCAGCACTGGGGAGGCTGAAACAAGAGGATTGCAAACTCCAGGCTAGCCTGGCCTACATAGCAAGACTTTCACAGTAGGCTGATGCAGTGGCTCATTTGGTGGAAGGTGTGCCTAGTACAAAGCCTTGAGTTTCATCTTGCACCCCTATAAGCTGGGAGTGGTGGCACGCACCTGTGTTCTCAGCGCTCAAAAGTAGAGATGGGACAGGAAGTTTAAAGTTGTCCTCCTACACGGTGGTGGGGGGAGTTCCAGTTCTGCCTGGTTACAATGAAACCCTGCCTCCCACTCCTTTTTGAGACATGACCTCACTGTGTAGACTAGGCTGGCCTGGAACACACTATGTAGACCAGGCTGGCCTCAAACTCATACAGATTCTCCTGTCTCTGCCCCAGAGTGCTGGGATTAAAGAAACGCATGCACTACCACCACACTCAGTCTGAAACCTTGCCTTCAAAACAAAACAAACACCCAAGCCAACAGGACCCCAAGACATCATCTAACCATAATCAATGCCCAAATTCCCACTCTATTTGTTTGAGACTGGGTCTCTAGTAACCCAGGCTAGCCTCTAGCTGAGGAGGATGGAGAGCGCAAGGTCAGCTTGGGTTACATGAGACTTCATTTCAAAAACAAATAGGCAGTGCAGTGAGGCATTTGCTGCTAAGTTTGATCCTGGAACCCATGTGGTAGTTCCAAGTCCTGGGGATCCGATGCACTCTTCTGATCTCTGCAGGCACTCAATGTACATATACAGACACACCAACAGAATTTCGAAAAAACAGATGGGGTAGGGGTTGAACGCTTGTCTACCATGTGCAAAAACCCTGGATTCAACCCTCATTGGTGCTCCTGACCCCCAAGAAGAGAGGCATCACATACACACACCAACACCAATACACACATTAACACACACACAGGCATGCACATATACATACACACACACACAAACACACACACACACACAACCAGAAACCAAAAGTTAACTTCTGAAATACAAAAGCGTTACCCAATTTTTTTTCCCCCACAGGGTCTCACTTTGTATGGCTGGCTGTCTGGAACTCACTCTGTAGGCCAAGCTGACCCTCAACTCACAGATATCCACCTGCCTCTGCCTCTGGAGTGCTGAGCTTAAGGTTGTGGCCCAGTCTAAAAGTCTACTGGGGACTGTAGAGGTGGGTGGCTTGGGCCCTGCAAACCTGGAGAGCCAGCAGGACACATATGTCCTTACATGTCTGTCACAGCTTGGGAGAAGGGCACAGAGCCACACTAAGTTATGTCCTGCATTGGTAGGAAAGGCAGCCTGGGGGGAGGGGGGTCTCCTAAAGGAGCGAGCCTGTGGCCTATATGTCACACAGCAGCGAGATCCTGGCAAACTGTAGGGGGAGAGCTGAGGCTGACTTGGGAAAACGTTCAGCTTCTGTATGAAGTAGAGCTACTGACTCCCGTGTGCACCTGCCATCCCGGCCCTTAGGAGGCGGAGGGAGGTGGGTCAGGAGTTTAGCATCATTTTCGCTACATTGCGCGACCAAGGCCATTCTGGGCTACACTTGAAAACAAATCATCTCACATTCATTTCTCTTTCCCCCCTTCCCCCAGTGTCAGAATTTG